AAAGTCTCTTGGGCATCTCCAGGCAACCCGATGCTCCCAAGCCTTTTGACAACATGAATCTCAGCTTCTCGTGTCCAGCTCTCAGAGCAAACAGAGAATTTGATCTTGAGTCTTGTGTCCTCCTCACCCAGCCTCCAGGGTGACAGTCCTAGTGCCTGGACAACTTGTCCCCAGACCTGCCTGCAACATGAGCCACTGTCCCCCCAGCAGCCCCTGGGAGAGCAACGATGGAAAGGAGATCCCTTCCACCCCAGGAAGACCCCTTCCATGCCAGATCTGGGAGCAGCGATGGTAGGATGGTGCCATGGGTGCACAATGAGTTGTAAAAAGCTGCTAATGAACTGGATGGCCCAACATTATAGAGCTGGGTCCCTAAGGGACACCCTGACTCCAGCAATTTAACAACCTCGCTACTTGGCTGCTTCTTCCCTGGTAATGTGGCCATGGCCACGCTGGTGTGGAGGGCTGTGTTGTGCGGTGGTGCCAGGTGAACTTCCCGGCTCCTCGGCTGTGCTGGAATGCCCGGAGCTGGGAGCTGGGTGTAGCTGGCAGCCTCCCTCTGGCGGCTGCCTCAGCCGCAAGGGCCAAACACGGAGCCACCCCTGAAGAGACCCTCGGATTCAACAGACCCACAACTTCCAGGCCACCAGTTCTGCTCCATCAGAACCTACTGATTGGAGCAGCTGGACGATAACCACAGCAGGAGCCCAGCATGCTGGGGGTTACTTCTCCCAGCTGAGCATTTCTCTGGCTCTTCGGAGCATATTTCAGACATGCAGTAGCTCTCCACAGCCTGGAAAAAGGGGATCATCCTTTCCCCTCCCTCCCTGCAAGGCAGTGGCGGGTGGCAGCAGTGTCAGGAGAGGCTGGAGGAGCACGGACTCTTCTGCCTTCCTCTGCGTGCCCCAAAGAGGGAAAACACCAGCCTAGGGGCTGCACTGACAGGCCGTGGAATGACAGGATGGAAAGTTTTTATTGTGGCAGGTGACGGAGCTGTACAAAGAAAGCATTGCCATGATATTCCTCCCTGCTCCTCCCAAACTGTTAGCCTGAGAGAGACCCAGAGAACCTACAAACTTGTTGCACCAGTACAAGCAGCTGCTGTGACAAAGCCTTAGTGACAGAAATGCACTGGGAACGGATTTCTCCCTGCGAGAGACCCTGTTTATCTCCCGCACCTCTGGATTTCTCCAGGGTTTCATTTGGACCGGAGCGGTGCCTTGGACTGTATTTCGGGAGCAGGGCGGTGAGAGGGGGTGGGACGGACCACTGGGGAGCCAGGCAGAGGAAGAGACAGATTTGGAAAGATAACGAGGAGGAGGAGGAGGAGGAGAGGCAGCGGGAAACCCAGCCCACAGCCTGGCTTCCTGCTGCCTCCTTCTAAAACCTGCAGATTCCCCCAGCCCTTGCAAGAGCCTGAAGCTTCCTCAGCCGCCGGCACAGTCAGGTATGGCCGAAACCTCCTTCCTTTCCTTCCCGATGCTCCTTCTCCCGGCGCGGCGGCTCCCAGGCTGCTGGCGCAGGCCCCGCATGGGCACCCAGCTCTCGTCTCGCACCCTCCTGGCACCCGAGCACCTTCCCCGGCTTCTGCTCTTGCCCCTCTTTGCAGCGGAGGCTGTTCCTGCCGCATCGCGTTTGCTGACCGCTGACTTTAAGGCTTTAACCCGACCTAATTTGTCTCTTTCCTCCCTTTTTCCTCTCTTGGTTTTAAGCTGGGGGGTATTGCCCCTGGGAGAGGTGCTGGACCCATAAGCGGGAACATCAAACCACCCTGCACGGCAAATCAGATGTAGCTATAAACCAGCGCACATTTTACACAGAGGACGAGGTGCTTTGGCATTTGTTTTACTCACCAGAATATCTAGAGGAAGAACAAAAGCGTTGTCGACTTAATCTCTTAGAGTCCTTTTCTTTCTTTCTTTTTCTAAAGTACAGCCACTCTTATTTCTCCTGCAGAGACAGACAGACACTTGGCTTTTTGTTCCAAGCAGACTTTGAAATCACTTCAGGTCCTCCTGCCCTATTTTGCATAAATCCAGCTGATCAGCTGTGCCAGAGAGTCAGAAGTTGCAGGGGAAAAACAAAAAAGACAACAAAAAAGAAGAACGGAGCTCTGCTTTTGTTTGTTTAAAGGTACTAAAAATAAGGACCAGCCAGACTCAATTTTAGGTCCATGTAAAAAAGCCAAGGGCTTGTTTCCTTTAAAGGCAGCAGCTGTCTTTTCCCTGCCTAGACGTGCATAGCAGCCCGACTCTGCTCTTTGTATCCCTCCCCTAGGAAAACTCCACTGTGTTGCCTACAGCCAAGGAAAAACTTATCAGGACAGTGCCTTAATTCCCACCCAAACTATCCTGGCAGCGACAGGTTGAGTCGGAGTGAAACCGCGGGCACCAGCAAGGTTGCCCGCGCTCCGAGCACCACTGGCTTCAAACAGCCCCAAAACTCAGCCCCAAAACTCAGCCCCACGGAAAGGACGGGGAC